GTGTTTTATATATACCCTACTAGGTATATTATTTTTAAGAAAGTACAAGTTTTCTTTTACAAAGTAGGTACCGGGATGAATAGATAGTAGGTATTATAGAAAGGACAGTGCACTATTTAAGTGAATAAATTATGCTACCATCAACTAATAGAACTGATTAAGAAGATACTGATTGAGAAGTTAAGTAATTTGGCAAGAATATTGAAAACAATGCGCGTGATACTACACTCGCACAAAATAATATTGTTTGAAAGACTTAGTAATAAGTTATAGTAATAGTCATTTATAACATTATAATATAATATATTTATTTATAGTAAAATATAACGAGCATTTTACTAATTACATATATTATATTATATTATATAATTATACTAATTATAAACGTTTATGAGTATGGATGGATATTTATTACTCTTTCACACAAAAACTAGGTGAAAAATTTCATGTGGGTGAAACGTCGCCACACGGCACAGGTAGTTAGTAGATACTAAAACGAAGTTAAATACAACAATAACAACAAATAGTATACTATTTGTTGTTACACATGTTATATGGACAACTATAAAGTACTAGGTAAATAAATAAATAAAAAAAGATGCGATTTAATTTTCTTTACTATTTTGTCGTGCCAATTTTATGTATTGTTTCTAAAAAGTAACAATAATTAAAATAACAATAGAACAGCAGACAACAGGGAGATGGAAGCAGTCGCGAGCGGTGCAGCGGCATGTGGCCCGCTGAGGGCGCAAATCGAATTAGCGGGGTAAAGTAGAGTAGCGCACGCACGCCGCCGCCCGCCATAACCGACGCATTATCAGATTAGATGCTGCGACTAGCCCGACGCCGCCATCCCACATCCAGCCGCTCTATGTACAATATATGCAATCGGTTCCATGCTCATAACTACTAATTTGGTCAAGGACGTACAATAAATACAACAGATAAATAATAATTAATGCAATCTTTGAAAGTAGTTACAGAACCAATATCACGTTCTAAAATATATTTATGTGTTAGGTACACATCACTTCAACATATTTGAATAAAAATAATTCCTTATTGGAATACACATAACGCAACGAAAATAATAGCTTTTCCATAAGTTTGAATTTACTTTATGTCAAATAGTTATTATATATTGTAATATCATAATGTTCAAGATCATTAGTTGAAAGTTGTACTCAAGGACTGAGTATTAATTATTGTATGGGGAAATAAAACTACGGGCAAAACATTTTAAACGAATTTGATACAAAAATAAATCAATAAAGTTTAAATAAATAAATATTAATGAAAAACTAACTCATCGACTTTTCAGTGCAATGGCGCATATGTTGAGAATATTTATAAATAATTACAATATTGTATAAAATATATATGTAATATACAATTAAAAGATTACAAAAATATTATAAATACTTGGGATAAATCTCCTGAATTTATCTCAGGCATGAATACAAATCAGGAAAGTATCTAACACATGTAAAAGAAATAAACATATTTTAATTTAAGTAAGTATTTTTAGAGTAGGCTTGACAAATATATGAAACATGTTAGAAATACAAAGTTACTGAAAAAAGTCAACGCTCGCCAAAGACAGTGAAAAACTGCGCGGTAGTTGTTGTTGTTTGATTGCAGGTCGCTAAGTGATCACATATTTTATTCTGGCGTGTTTTTCATTCAGGGACAACTAACAGTAAATACGTGTACATTAGAGATGGTTCTTCTGAACTCGCCGCTCTGATAATGAATATTTGCGTGAAAATAACATCATAAATAATTTCACTGAGAAGGATAAGCTATTTTTTCAAGTGATTTTATAGCAATACCTTATATAAATATACAATAACTCTACGGTGGCTCACTTGACGTGCTATTTTCTTGGAGTAGGAATATTATAATTGACGAAATAATGATCCATCATAGTGATAGCCGATTGTTCAGCATTAAAAAAGGTCGTACATTTGCTGTATTAGATAAGTATTGGCCAATGGCTTCTTGAATATAAAAGAGAAGAACAAAACAATTATTGTAGAATAGGTATTCTACAAAACTTCAGGAAATGCACAATATCTTTTATTTTACCTCAAAACTAGATCCAAATTGTGAAAGAATTTATTAAGTTTTTCTAATTATTCGACTTTTCGAAAATACATTTAGATTCAAATTAATAATCTCTTTTGTTATGTAATATTCTTTTACCAGTGGTTTTAATTATATTTAACAAGAGATTTTTTTTAAAATTACCACTTAACGTAGGTTATAAAAGTCTTTATATTTTTAGTTCACAGTGTGTAGAGTGGTATGAGTTATATATGAGTTATTAATGTAATTTTAAAAGTCAAATAAAGAAGTAGTAACTACTTAATGATAGTTTCTGTTGTCTGAACATATTAGTCTTATTGTACTTTCCTTACTTACTTCAGACATTAGTTCCAGAATATTCAATCTTGCACGAAGTAGTAGGTACCTGAATATGTAGTAATGAATACCTATTAAGAATACCAAAAATTTTACATTCTTGATCTAGAAAGGTTATATAGCCTTTGGTAACTAACTCAGTAGTAAATAACTCAGTTCAGATTAAAATAAATTACATTCCATTTTAAAGTCATCATTTTAGTTATTTTATCTTGATATGTATTTTACTGTAACATACATAACAATGTAATATTATTTCCACAAAATAATAGACATCAAGTTCTTACAACTTCGCAGATTTTTCAGAGAAAATCAGAAACTTGCAGAAACAGAAAAAATACTTGAAAAGACTATTTACATATTGAGAAGCTTTCTTTTGAATGCAGTTTTGTACAAAATGTTAGTTTGTAAATATTGCTGTACTTACAAGTTTTTACCAGGAATATATTTATTGATCTGTCTAATATCTTTGTCCCAAATATCAGATATGTTTATTTCAAATTTTATATCAGTTAGTTGAGCCATTAATCGCTGATATTTTACCGGGAATATTTTACGCACACACCCAAGTTTTATGAAAAATATTTTGGAACGCAGAAGGACAAACATGTAAATATATAAATTACTAATTTTATTTACCTATAAAGGCTGTAATTGTAAAGTGCAAGATATATATTATGACACCAGCGCGTGTGAGCGGTAACGGCAAGCGTACAAGCGTACAAACTGGGGTAAAAGAGCGCGGTGGAGAGCGTTCGCTCGTATCCCGCGGGATTTTCTGTACACTTGGGATGTCTGGGATGCCGCTGCGCAACGCCGCACCGCGACGATTGTCGTTGCAATGTTGAAAATATTTTATGCGCTATATTCTCATGAACCACCCCTTCTTGGTGCATTTACCACCCGCAGCGATGTGTTGTTGTTGTAATTCTAATATTCATTAAATGTAGTTACAGAATCAGATTCACAGTTACAAGAAATTATATTAATGAAAGTGTGAATACCTACTGGAAAATTTATCGACCAGTTGTATTTTGATCTTAAAAGCATATTTAAAGCAGATAGATATATCTACAAGTAAGAAGTTTTATATTGAAATACACAGAAAACGAAAGTAACGGATGAAAAGGACTTTTAAAATAATTACAGGAAATTAGGAAAAGGTATAATAAAGTTTATTTACTTTGTATATTATTTTATAAACGTAAACCTAATAGGTAGTTTTGTTTTCAGTATGTTATATAGTAGGTAGTAGGTAATATAATGGTTATCTTACACACATTTCCATTGTAATATAGATAAGATATACCTAATATGCCAGATATTTTCACTCAGTTTCTAGTACTAACGGAACGTAACTAAGAAATGCTACTTAGATGCTACTACGAGTAGGTAGTTCATTTTTTTGTTGGTCCTGCGTTTGCGCCACGCGCCGCCGCGTCATCATAAGCGTACCTAATAAAAACCGCTGTAAAATTATAGTTTTTTTAAATTGTTTGTTGAAATCGTTGAACATTTATAGATTCTTTTTATTGTATTTAATTATCTTCATTATATAGTAATACACTACTTATTTTCTACTTAATATTTAAAGTGCTCATTATTACCATCAGAGATTCAATAAAATCTTTAGAAGGACTGTGCAATTTAGTCTGTTTAAACCTACTTCTGCAGGTTGCTAAGCAAAACAGTTTGTGAGCAAAGATCACAGTGAGATTACTGAATATGATTATGGTATAGGTAGGTTTACATTTACAGAAGTCAGATTTAGTACCTATAGGTACTATATACAAAAAGAGTTTGGGTGCAATAACATCTTATAAATACAGGTAAAACAATAAATTAAAATGTTTACTCTAGGGAATTAGATTTTCCAGTAGAAACATCATTATTATTTTCTTCTGTATAATCATCATTATTTTCTATTGGAATTATTAATTGTTAATGTTACCAAAATCAAAGTACCAAAATGTATGAAATACGAATTGTAAAGTTTTTCAACTTAAAAGTTACAGAATTTCAATGAAAAGCAATGAATACATACCTAGAATCATTCATTAAGTGGGTACCTGGATCGTTAATTACGACTTTTTTATTTTCCTCAATGACAAAGGAACTGTCGGCGAAAAGAAAAGTAGACAAGTGTCGTGACACGCACCCCTATACGAGGGGTGCGGGGCGGGGTGCTCAGTCGACCAATGAGGGTCTCAGGCCAAGCAAGCGGTCGCGGCCATTGGCTTGTCATCGGGGGTGCGCGCCCCGCCCCGTCCTCGAGGTTCGCCCTTATTGAATTAGGCTTATCATTCGATTTCGAGTGGGGCGAGCGCGCGGTCCTCCGCGCCCGGCAAAAACTATCGCACGGATCCGATACCATCTGTAATCGGCATAATTCGATATAGTCACAGTTCATCCAATTATGCGGTTGTGAGCCTTGGCGCTGCAGGCTTCGACAGAAGACGCACGCGCCCCGCGCGGCGCGGCGCTCGCCGTCCGCTAAATTTCCAAAACAACCGCTGTTTTTGTCGGAGCACATGTTAGGAAGTGAGCTGGTTAGATAGCCAAGGCACTTAGCAGCCATGGAGTACGGGTACTTGAGTGGGGCTGGTGGCGGATTTGAGAGCGGCTGCCTAGGCTCCGGTGGCGGCGAACTGTCGTGGGGCGAGCTGGCATCATGCGGCCAGATGTCGCAAGCAGCTTATCGCTATCAGGGTATGCGCTACCAGCCACCACCGCCACAGTGCGCGCGCCCTCAGGACGCGGCTATGAGGAATCATCATATTTTCCCGCCAACCATGAATTTACAACGTAAGTAATTTTCAAAGTTACATAGAAGTTTTTTCCGACGGCTACGTACTAATTATGTACCTGTGACCACAAGAATCACACCCGGAACTTCGAAGTTTATTGTTGCTGTCCGACCCTTATAGGCCACAGTATGATGATATGTACCTACTATACTCGTACTTTCAGTGTAAGCGCACACAAATGATGAGGTATACTAGACGTTGGTTTGCTGTGAAATTATGCGTAATACTGTATACTGTAGTATAATTTCGTGATGCATATTCTTGTAAATATACCATATCATATGTGACAATAGGTACTTCATATCAATTATGAAATACCTATTGTCAATATTAATAATACGTCTAGTTTAAATGTTTATAATAATAAGTTTCATTTAAGAAAAATATTGCTATTATTAGAGGGTTATCTATTTGTATCTGTATTTTAATAAAATCAAGTTGAAGTTCGAAATGCAATGTAAATTCTTTCTAAAGCTGCACGGTAGTAATTCAATAATAAAATAGGTTAATATAATTAAGTACAACAATAAACGTTTTGTAAGAAAAGTGTAGACCGCTGCTACGAGCCGGCGGGTGTAGCGACGTAGAGCATTTGCTACGTGGCTTTTTTATCCTACATAAAATACGTACGTAGGTATTATTATAGTTTCAAATATTTGTAACATCATTCTGATTTATTTTATTAACCGTCACATATGTCTATTCATTTATATTTTTTTATGTGATTGATTTAGGAGTGCAGCAAATACTATTTCGTCATTTATATTTATTATATGAGAGTATAGAATATAAATTTATATTAATAATAATAATATTTCCTAATAAAACATACATACGAGAAAATAACGTTGCTACCAGGTCTGCAAGCATCTAAAGTATATTGTTTCTATTGAACGATACTCAATTCATTGACTGTTTTATCACAGATATGAGAATATGTTTTTGAATTATGTGAATCGATTTTCATTCTTCTAATGAAAAGAGTATTTTATTTTCGTATTGAATTCTAATTTATTTTCTAATGCCCCATTTGGATTAAAAAAAAAACTTTTTTTTTTTATTACTTTTTCACCAAACACTTCTCAAAATGTAAATGTTTCTTCGGTGATGCTAAATTAAAAAATCTTTTAAAATGTTAACTTTATAGGAAACATGCGACTAAATATTGTGGACATAACGATAGGCATTTGAATTCTGCAAGGTCCACTATTTTTATTACAATAAACGTTTTGAAGCATTTAGCACTATTTTAGTATTATTATTATTATACATATGCCATTATGTCATTAAATATATCTCTAAAGAAAATAGTACTCTAAATAACATATAAAGGATTATCATCTCTAAGATAAGCATTTATAGCAGTAGGTACTTCACTTTGACTTTACTGTTATTAAGACGTTGACTTTGGGAAGATGAAATGCATTATTTCATCTTAACGGCCAAACCATACTGCAGAATGGTAGCCCAAAATAGAATATACTGGAAAGCATTAGAGGATGACTTTGCCGCAAGACACTCTGTACTGAGGGATATAATATAAAGAATAAAATACATATAAAATATGAATCCGTAATAAAATTAAAACAATGAACAATTATGTAAGTTATATTAGTAACAATAAATCTATTTTGTATTCTAATAATGGGGACAAGTAAAATATATAATATAAAAAAGTGCAGTATAAATACTTCTTCATGTTATTGCTGAGATGTAATCAAAGATTAATTCAAATCGAAGGGCGACTGAATTTCATATATCCAATTTAATACTAATACTTAATTACTCAAGTAAAACCTTGAAATAAGGCGTCTGTGTGCACTTCAGTCTCACCAATTTAAGACACCAAGCTTGCTTTGTAAGCCGTCTTTTGGTTGAAGTTATAAGTTGCAGTGAAATTACAGTCTATGGAGGCATAACATCTTAGTCCTCGAAAAGCAACGCATGAGTGATATCACGGGCATTACATGACAATGTGATGTTCACGGTTCTGTTCATTTTTGTTACTACTAGGTGTGTGTTAGTAAATATTTTATACTACATAATTGATATACTCAGAAGCTTTGTATAAGCGACAATATTAAGAATAGTATTTTATTACTTTCGTATTGTAATTTTGTTTAGATGAAATTAAGTGACGTGTATTAAAGGTCTTTTTAATATTCCGTAACGTTATTTTGTGTCTCACTTTTTATGCATGATTGAGATGTGCAATAATATCTAAAATAAATATTATTATCTGTTAAAATTTACGTCTATTTTTATTTTATTTTTAATTATTAGGTATATTAAAATTTCTTCACTGCATGTAAATTGGTCTTTATTACCAAGAAAGTTCATTGATCCGTTATAGTTCCGAGGCAGTTACTAGAAGCGGCAATAGTTGATTTACAGACTAATTTATATACAATGGAATATTTACATGTATTAGATACATTCATTTGTTAATATGTCATTATCTAATGTCCTCATCTAATACTATGCTGTTTAGAAAAATGCAGATAATTTGATAGCAGACTATTAGAGTCTAAACCGCTGTAACGAATACATACGTGTATATTAAATTAGCACTCTTTAATTTTCAACGCACACTCTAGGTTTTAACTGCTATTATTTATTCTATAACTACCTGAATAATAGTAAATGTTTTACACATATCTTAATATGTAAAACTTTGCTTTCTCTGTTGATAAGCAAATGGTGTCAATACATTCAAGTAGAAATATTAATATTTCTTATAGATACTACAAAATTACCTAAGGATAACAAGTGTAGATTGTACCTATACATACTTGAATTAAATTATAAATATATAAAGTTCAGGATAATACACAACAATAGAATAGAAAATTATTTATTCAAATAAACTTACATTGAAGCACTTTTGAATAGTCATTACATTTTTTTAATCCACCGGATTAAAAAGGAAGTTCGGAAAGCTGTCTCATCACAAGAAGAACGAGCAAGAAACTTGCGTGTTGCTCTTTTAAATAATTTTATTATTACTTTACATTTTTAAGTTTAAGTATGTGAATACAAACCACCAATTAGCACTAATTCAATTAAATACTCAAATAGAAAAAATATTTAATATATAACTAACTTAAAAGGTTAAACAATTAATAAGAGGAAATCAGTCATAGTGATTAGAGCAGACCAGTCCCTTCAAGCAGCACCCGTTCACGAGTATGACGGATGAGCCAGCCATCACTACGCTCGACCATATTTTAGGGAGCCCAATGACCCGGCCCACCACGCCGCCACAAGTCTGGACATTTTAGTGAGCATGACTACTCAAAACACTAGTCCACGTCAAAGCTACTTACAATTGCCATCTGATAGGTATAGTATTCACATTTTACATAAGAATGCATGTGGCAATCAATACAAAAACCGCTACGCTTACATATTTCTAAAATCAATCAATTAAATCAAGAAAGCAATGAGAAAATTAAATTATAACGTTGTATGCTAATAAACTAATTATTTACTTGATATGTTGTCATCTATGAATTCGTCTATCCTGTAATAGGCTTTCTTACATAAAAATTGTTTAATATAAGATTTGAATTGCCTCTCTGTCAGATTTAATGCAGATTCTGGCAGTTTATTATTAAATTTTACGCAATTACCATAGAATGAATTACTGATTTTGTGCAGATGGCATTTAGGAAAAATTTGCTTATTTATATTGCGTAAGTTTCTACTTGTACAGTCTTTGAGTTTTTTAAAAGTTCTTCCGTGTATACATGATATTTTCATAAATGTATTGTGAAGTAATAGTAATAGTAAGATATCCACCTTCAGAGGACTTTCACAAGCAGTTGATTAGAATAAATCAATTATACTTAGTAAAGAAAAACTTGAACAATTTTTTCCACTGAATGAACTTATGAAAAATGTAGTAATAGAGTCTACAAACTTTACAAACCAAAATGAAAAATGCGTATACTATATGTATCAGTGTAAAATATCTTTTTATACCTCTTTTCTGTAGTTTTAGAACTGAAACCATTTCCATTTGCTGAATAAGTATTCGGGATTGGACTAGGGACAACGATCACTAAACAAAGACTAGACGTGTGCTGGGCGGGGCGGGTGCAAGTCGGGTCGCGGGGGTGTTCTTGCCGCGTGAGCGATTGCGCCTCTAATTGGCAGTGGCGTCCGCGAGAATCTTAAGGGGAGGACAACGAAGCTCGAGCGAGCCTTCTCCACGTCTTGTGGCTCTCAGCTCGGCGTGGACCCCTCGCCTCCCGACCCGCGGACGCAATTGTTTCACCTCCGGCGACTCCCACGCAACACAATAACTCACCTCGAGCGGCAACGCTCACGTAATCCCGAGTAAGTCGGGATTATACCCGTTAATCACGCGGAAATTAATTACAAGTTTGCGTATTAATTGTAGTACAATTACAAGAATTACAAGGTTAGGATTGTGATTATTTTGTTAGTGACGGGTTGCTGTAATTATTGTTGTACTATTATTACATTTTCCATAAATGTTGGGATGTAGAATAGAATAGAAAATAATTTATTCAAATAAAGTTACATTGAAGTTCTTTTGAATAGTCAACACTTATTTTCTTTTTGTCTATCGTTCATTCCGAAAGCTGTTTCTTCACAAGAAGAACGAGCAAGATACTTCTAACATTGATTTCCCTTTACAATAATATGAATAAATTGCATTACTTATTATTATCGTATTAAAATTAACTGAAAATTATATTAAGTGAATAGTAAATATTCAGTCATACTCTGAACTATATTTTTTGTATTTCAAAGAATATTAGCGATCCGTACCGAATTCGACTAACTATCAAATAATATATACTCAGATTAATATTATGATCGATATTAAAACATTCTGTTTTACGAGTACCTATTCTTACTATCAGAAGTAAAATTTGGTAATTCTGTTGAAATTATTATTATATTATTAACCCTATTAATATTACAAAAGCGAAAGTTTGTGAGTATGGATGGATCGATGGATGGATG